CTCTGGAGTCAAGGGTGCAGGACCGCATGCCACAGGGCGCCTGGCTCACCTGGGACGCCCTGGTGGCTCACAGCATTTAACTGCCCGGCCCAGTCGGCTGAGTAGCATCGGGAAAGCATCCCAGCCGCTTAGGATGGCTCCCCTCTCCAAAAAAAAAAAAAAAAGAAAAAAGAAAAGAAAAGAAAAGAAAGAAAAAAGCCCCTGATGTGGAGGGGTTCTGAGGGGCCAGAACTACCACAGATGCCTGCCCCAGAAGCTGGGCCATCACTCTTCCCGAAGGGCTCGGGAGCCCTCCAACACCGCTCCTGCCTCCTAATCAGGGGAAGGTCGGAGACCCAAAAGTAAGAAGCATGCGACTTTAGAATCTCAATCAACCTGAGAAGAACTCGCTTTCTCTCCACTGCCTGCCACCATCCTCTCCAAACGCAATCTGCAATTTTCCCCTGAGCTCTTCTTACCTAAGGAAACGACCGACCGCAGGAAAAACGCAAGCAACCAAAAGCTCCCATCTGCTAAAAACTCACACTTAACTCTGACCCTCAAAAAGTCCCTTCTCCCTCAAAAAGGAATGTAAAACTCAATGGCTTTTATTCTTTGCTGCTGTCCAAATACCCTAAAATTTCCCACAAAACGTGCAGGGTTAAGTTCTACTCCACTTACCAACCAAGGCTCAACTCTGATCCTCAACTGTTAACTTTTACTGAGAAGCACGAACATGCTTCCAGCTCTGGTTCGCTTATATTCTAGCAATCCTAAAAGTCAGTTACCATCCCTCCCTTAGAACCGAGCAAAGCTCAAACAGCGTCCATTGCTCCAATGACAAACTAACGGTGGTATTCTTTAAAGCTTGTGAAAATAGGTACTATTACTACCTTGAGTAGTCCTTTTGAAATGTAATCTTTAGGAAGCATCTTTTAGTGCCTAATACAACTGAAATTCTGATAACCTTATCCTTTTTTAAAATTTTTTAATAAGGTGACTGATTTATAACATTGTGTAAGGTTCAAAAGAGCTGCTTTATACTTCAACGTTCTCTGGGTACATATACGATGTGAGAGATCGACACTGAAAGTCACCTTTCCATTAAGCAGGATTTTCTTCTTTCCAATTTAAAAGAAAATTTAGACACTGATTTACAGCGTTTGTTCAAATAGGTTTTCAGGTATACAATGTTCCCACCTCCAATCTCGTTGTTCAGTCACCCTAAATCTCCACCAACGATCCCAGGTTCCCATCTACCCTTAAGAGGACTCCCTGACTGATATCCATTTGTTAAATTACTGTGGTTGGGGGGTCTCATGTTCTGAGTCTAGTCCTCTTTTTTGTTCGGAAATCTCTTTGGGGGCCACTCCTGGCAGTGTTGGCCAGGCCTTCCAGGCAGGCGCCCAGCCTCCCTACGCTTCACAAGCAACCGAGAGTGTCTCGCCCGCACAACAAAGCCTGGCAAGTTCCCCGTGAGGTATTTGATATGCCAAACACAGTAACAAGTCTCATGATGGAGACGTTACTGGGCCCGCTCGAGCAAATCGATGAAAAACGGGAGGGCTGTGACAGTTCATACTAAAATTCTGGTTGCCACATAAAATTCAAGCTACCGTAGAGGAGTATTCACATTGATCCTTAAGTTTTCTTCTATATCGTTAAAAACTGACTGAAGTATTTGGCCTTGTCAGGTTTTATACTGAATTCATGCACACTAGGAGAAAACAATTTTGTAAAATTTAATTTTATATTTACTTCACAGTCACTAAAAAGCAATTCGGTTAAAAATGCCCTTTAACAGGGAGTTTTGGAATATCTGATCTAATATCACACCTGGGTTTCTCTGGAGACTGTTCACAATATTCTTAAAACTTGGTTGCTTAATAAACAAAACTCACGTTAGAACTAAACTGAAATGTGAAATTTAATATACATAATTACCCTATGGTGGAGCAGTAGCACAGGGGTAGGGTGTTTGCCTTGCACCTGGCTGACCCAACCGACCCCCAGGTTCGATTCCTCTGCCCCTCTTGGAGAGCCCAGCAAGCTACCCGTGATGTATTCCATATGCCAAACACAGTAACAAGTCTCACAATGGAGACATTAGGGAGGACAGTGCTACAGTGCTACCCTATGGCTTAACGTTCCTTAAGAGCAGGAGGGCATGGACCATTTATTAAAAAAAATATCTCAATAAAAAAGAAAACTTTGCAAAAGTGTTACGCTAACAATAAACATTGTATAAAGGCAACAGGGAAGCTGACTTTAATGAAAGGGACTGTCAGAGATAACCATTAACTATTACTTTGGCAGTCCATTCAATTTAGGTTACATTCTTTATTTTGTGTTGCTAGTTGAGTGTAAATCTCCAAATTCAAAATGTCTGTATCCTAACTTTCTCTGGGTATGAAAATAAGCTTGGTTTCTTTCACCTTTATAATGAAAGAGAACATGTTAAAAACATTTAGCAGCATTTTGTTGCTATTGCCCAATGAAATAGCAATAATCTAGTGGTTCCTAATTAACATCCCCTGCCCCAAGACCCCATTTTCAAAAGCAGGTCTTGGGCCAGGGTACAGCTAGCAGGGTTCTTGCCTCGCTGGTGTTGCCTGACCCTGATTGATCCCCCACACCACATATGGTTTCCTGAGCTCCCCCAGGGATCCTACTACTAGCACAGAGCTAGTAGTAGGCCGGGAGCACAGCCGGGTGTTCCACGTGAAGCCCCAGCAAAAAAAAACAAAAAAACACACAACAAATAGGTATTTCCAACTGTGCTGCACAACAGTAAAAACTTTCTAACCAAGAAAACTACATCGAGCATTTTCCTTAGGACATTACCCTCCACAAGCCTATCTACTGAATTTTGTATGCACAAAAATCTCCTAAAAACAGGCAGCATTTCAGCTGAAATCCAAGGCTAGGGGCTGGAGCAACAGCACAGCGGATAGGGCGCCTGCCTTGCACGCGGCGGACCCGGGTTCGATTCCCAGCGTCCCATATGGTCCCCTGAGCACCGCCAGGAGTAATTCCTGAGTGCACAAGCCAGGAGGAACCCCTGTGCACCGCCGGGTGTGACCCAAAAAGCAAAAAAAAAAAAAAAAGAAGAAACCCAAGGCTAACATTTCCTGGGCTCCTGGGCTCGAACCACCACCCCAGAGGTCCAGTTTGTGGCCTCGGCACCCCAATCACTCCCACCAACTGCGCAGTGAAACCGCGGTACGTCACTACCACGGAGCGGCTGGGCCCGACACGCGACAGCAGGCGACAGCGACGCTGCCCCAAAGCGCAGGTTCTACCTGTCCAAGTCATTCGCTTTTTTTTTTTTCCCCGACAAAGAGAAGCTGCCGCCTCGACCCATTCTGGAAATGAGTCCCGAACCCTCCAGAACCCTCTTCCGAGCCGGGATACTACAACGAAGATCGGACTCGGCCCCGGGTGTCCGCGGCGAGCCCCCTAAGGCTCCAACTCGCCGAGGCCACTTCCGGGGCAGCGAGCGGGCACCGCACCAACCGCTTCCCCCGTCACGCCCGCGACTCGACTCCATCCACGTGGTCCCCCAGGGCCCCGCGCCGCGCCGCGCCCGCCCCGCCCCGCCGGGGGCCGGGAGGCGGGGCCGCCGTGGCCACGCCCAGGGGCGGGCCGACGCGCGGTCACGTGGGCGCGCCGCCGCCATTTCCCGGGGCGGGGCGGGGCGGAGCCCGCGGGCCCGACCCACCCAGCCACCCCCCCCCCCGCGCCCCCCAGACGGCCGGTCGGCAGCGCCGCGTGACCGCCGAGCCCTCCTCCCGCACCCGCCGAGTGACAGCCCGGCTCGGGGACGGCCACCCGGCCACCCCTCCCGCGGCACTCCCGCTGCAGCCCGGAGGCGGCTCCTCGTGGGGCGTTTGCCCCGCACGCGCCGACCCGAGCTCGGGCCCCAGCACCAACCACGGTCCCCCGAGCACGCCCGCCCGCCGAACGGCAGCCGAACCCCCGCCAGCTCCCGCCCCCCGCGCCCCCCCCAGTCCCGGCCCACCCCTACACGGCGTGCTAAATGCCAGGGGGGGCCAGGACGACGCCCAGCAGCTAACCCAGAAGCCCTTTTTAGCCCCAGTGACACCAGGTCCCACCGCAGGGCATTCCCGGGACACCCCAACGCCTCGGGTCATCGTTGCCCCGCACACCCGGGACCCTGGAGAGATTAGGGACTCCGTGACCCGGGCGCGCGTGACGCGTCCGGGGGCTGCAGCCAGCCGGGCCCGGCGCGGGCACGGCACGTGCTCGGGCGCTCCGGGGACGGGCCGAGGCCCGGCTGGTCGCAGGGGCAGTGCCGCCCCGCCCGATTCCGGGGGGCGAGACCCGCAAGGTGGTACCCCCCTTGCAGGCCCGGGCACCGAGCGACGGGCGATGACCGCTCGGACCTTTAAGCCAGGAAGCGGGGAGGCGTCTGCGCGTCCTCCGTGCCATCCGGGGGGCGGGGGGGTGGGACCACCTCGCGCTCGGAGGGCACCGCATCCAAAGGAGCACTCTGCAGCAGCTGGAGGGGGCTGCGCGCGAGCCACGGGGGCTAAGCCAACCGTAAGTAGCTTTCACGCGGAGACCCCCGCCCTACCCCCGCCACTTCAATCACTCCCGAGCACTCTACGCCGGGCCCAGCCTCTCGCTCTCCCGCCCACAAACATCCATCACACGTAGTCGCTGCGACAACTGGTCCACCTGTGTCCACAGCCTCGTGTCCAACTCGCGAGCATCCTGGACCGGCCGGGGGGGAGCGGGAGGGAGGGGGTCTTCCGCGGCCGCCCAAGCGACTTCCCGGGGCAGCCTCGGGTGCCGGGGCCCAGGCCCTGCGTTCCGACCGTGTCGCTGCTCCACGTGGGGGCGGGCGGGTCCGTGCACCCGAGGGGCACCCCGGCTGGGCTGCAGTCCCCCCGGGTGGCCGCGCCCTAGACCTCCCCCCAGGAGCCGTCCCGTGGCTTGGGTTCCGGCGGGCGGGGGTGGGGTGGGGTTCGGGGGGGGGACGGCGGCGCCCACCTTACCTGGGCCCAGGGGCCGGCCAGGCGGCACGGCTCCGCCTCCGCGTCCTCGGGACCCCCGCGCAGCGCCGCGCGGAGCCGCTCCAGGTGCTCCCGCAGCGTGACCCGCTGGTGGAAGGAGAAGGCCGGGTGCAGCGAGGCCATGGTGAAGAGCAGCAGCAGCTCCTCCTGGGCCCGGGCGCCCAGACCCCCGCCGCCGCCGCCGCCGCCGCCGCCTTCGGGCCCGGAGCCGTCCAGCTCCGCATCGTCGTCGGCGTCGCCGTCGGCGTCGGGCTCGTCGTCGCCCCGGCCCCCGCGCAGGCTCCGCAGCACCGAGTCCACCTGGGGCAGCAGGCGGTGCAGGCGGCCGGCGGCCTCGCGGTTCTCCGAGCCCAGCAGCGCCAGGTAGACGATGAGGCGCGAGCGCACGGCGGGCTCGCGGAAGTCGGCCAGCGGGCCCGGGTCCGAGAGCCCGTTGGCCTTGGCCTCCGAGTCGCGCAGGCAGTGGTAGTCCTTGCGCGCCAGGTCCTCGAGGCACGAGCCCAGGAAGCGCAGCTCCAGCGGGTTGCACAGGTCCAGGAGCCCGCACAGGAACTCGAGGCGCTGCGCCGAGCCCAGCACCAGCCCGAACCACTCGTACACGCGCTCCTGCTCCCGCAGCGCCGCCGCGGGCCCCGCGCCGCCAGCAACAGGCGGCCCCAGCCCCCGGGCGGGCGGCGGCGGCGGCGGCGGGGCGGGGGGCGCCGGGGGTCCCCGCGGCGGGCCCGCGGGCGGCGGCGCGGGCGCGGGCGTGGGCGGCGGGGCGCGACCGTCGCGGCGGCGGCGCGGCCGCGCGTCCGCCTCGGGCTCGTCCGCCTCGGGCGGCGGCTCGGCGGGCTGCGTCGGCTTGGGCGGCAGCTTCATCCTCAGCATCCTCGGCTAGCGCGGCGCGGACATGCGAGCGGGGGCGTGCGGGAGCGGCCGGGCGCGGCCGTCAGGAGCGCGGCCCCTCCATGCCGCCGGCGGGGGCCGGGGCCGGGGCCGGGGGCGGGTCTGGGCCGCGGCGGGGGGCCGGCGGGGTCGCCCGCGACGTCTTCTCGGGCCCGAGGCGGGGCGTGCCCGCGGCGGCTCCGCCCTCGGGGCTCGGCGCCGGCGAGCGAGCGCGGCCTCCTTCCGCCTCCCTGGCGTGGCGGCGTCCGCGCTCCAGCCGGGGCGGCGGCGGCGGCGGCGTTGGCGGCGTTGGCAGCGGCGGCGGCGGCGGCGGCGCCCGAGCGGTTCCCTCCCGAGCCGGTGCGGACCCAGCCGCGGGCCCGAGACGAGGAGCGGCCGGGCGGGGACGCTGGCGGGCTCCGCGCAGGAGCCTCGGCCAATCAGCGGCCCGGGCCGCCGTGACGTCGCTCGCCCCGCCCCCGCCCGGCCCCGCCCCTCCGCGCGAGGCCCCGCCCCGCCGCTCCCCGGCCGCCTCCCTCTCGGCGGCTCCCGCGCGGCCCTAAGGCCGGCGTTGCTGGCGGCGGCTGCGGCGGCGGCCGGGAGGGAGCGGGGCGGCCCGCGTGAGCGGAGGCCGAGCGCCGGCCTTGCCTCGCCTCCGGCTCCCGCCGCCCGCGGGACGGGGCGGCCGGTGCCCGCCTAACGGTCGCGGCGGGTGGGCAACACTCCGGGGAACGAGTTCCGCGACGGTTGCGCAGCCCGGGCTGAGCCCGCGGCGCTGCACCTGACGCTCGGGACCCTTGCAGGGGCGCGAGCTCGCTCCCGGGCCGGCTTTTCATTTCATTTCGTTTATTTTATTTTTATTTCTTTATTTTTTGGACTTTTTAAGTGGACACATTTTGCAACCCAGTCGGGCCCTGTGACAGTTAAAATTATATATATATGTACACACAATACATGCATACATATATAATGGTTCTAAAAATCATTTTAGCGTTTCAGATCAAGTCCCGCTAGAGCTACGTGGGAAGTTTTTTTTTCCCACTCCGAAGAATTGTGCTCAGCTTTCTGGAAATGTTCAGAAGAGTTTACTGAATGAACCCTCTGCCCTCTAGCTTTATCCCTTGGTCAAGCTTTCCAAATGGAATTAATTTCTACTCAACGGAGAAAAGCTGCACTGAAGCCTGACTCTCAGCGATAACCTGGGGAGACAATTATGTTCTTGACGCGTGTGATTTGACAAACTGGGCGAAAGCCATTATTTTGTGTAATTTCCCTGTTTTCTTGCATTCTTTGGGTGTCGCGTAGAAATCATTACTATCAGGAGAAAACTCGCTAGGAAGTTTATTAGCAACCCCTGGCCCTTTGGCTGGGGATCAGCTGGCCCGGATTCATCATCATCTCCTACCTCCTTTCCCATATCTCGAAGCCTCATGGTGCAGTATTGTATAAAAACCAACTCATAGTCATCTTGCTAGCTACTCCCAGGCCCTGTGTGGGCCAAATGGGTAACTTCTTGGGCAGTAGCTAAAACTTGAATATGATTTTCACATGTTACCAGGGCAAAAGTTTATTTTCCTCAGCAACAGAAACATGGCATGTGATACAACTCTCCAGGGTACTGGAGCCATAAATTTCACATCAGAGTCCAGATTTGTAATCAGCGTGGGTGACTTTGGTCGGTATCTTTGACCAGTATTAGAAGATGCACTGTGATTTAATGGTTCCAGTTTTCCTCCCCCAGCTGGACAATGTGCTAATTATTCCGTGCCCCAGCCCCCTCCCTTGCAATGCTTCAGAGCCCCACTTCCCATTTCTCCAGCAGCTTATCAAAATTAGGCCGCAAGGAGTGGCCCACCCTGTAAGTCAGAGAGGGAGCATAAATCAGGACCGGTGACTGATGGGCAGCACTCCGCAGGAAGGGGCGGGCTTAGAAATCCCAGGCTAAGGTGTGAGTGGGTACCGGTGTGTGTGAGCTGTGCGCAGGACTTCCCCTGCCTCTGGGCTGAAGCATCCATCACTCCTGGCAATTCTCTGGACACCTATGGGGTGGCCTAAGGCAACACCTTACTGCACTGTACTATCCAACCCCTCATCCCTGAGATTTAAAGCATATTAAACATATTGTTTTATGTGCCACATTAGCAAAAGATGGTATTGTTAGCATTACTGTCCAAATATTTGTATGTCACCAAAAAAATGGTTTCAAGTCCAAGGCTATTTTTTTGAAGCATTTAACAAACAGTGATTAAGGATTAAGGAGACTTCTCAATATTCCTTTTTGTGAATATCCTCCTGTAAGAAACTTAATTAGGAGGCTCCAAGCAGACTAATCATGAGAATCAGCTCCGTGAAAGTGAGGCTCTGATGAAAACCATTTGTACCCCAGATGAGATCCTAATACAGCCAACCTGGTCCATCCCAAGATTCTGAGCTCTCAGTCTTCATGCCTGTTGATTCATCTTCAGTTACACCACGCTGACTGACATTTCCATACAAATGTCCTAACATCCATGGCCATGTGTTGCCATGTATATTTTCACATCTGGTATTCAATAGGTGTTCATTCTCCTATAGAGAATGAATGCAATTCCAGGACCAAAAGTAACCAAGTCTCCTGTATCAATCTTGTTTCCATGTAGCAAGGGGATAGAAAATATCTGAATCCTGCCCCTTCCCCCGACCCCATGGTCAGGCTAATGCTAAGATTGCGTCTTCCTCAATTTAGCTTAGGACATATGCCCATTGCGATCCATCACTGAAAGCTGGTCTAGGATCAAGTGAATTTCCACTCAGAATCTGGACTGTTGGGAACATGGGTAGCAGAGAAGCCGCTAAATTCTGTTTCAGTTTCATGCAGAGACCCTTAATCTCGACCGCTCAAAATGCCATAGGAATTTTTGTTCACATACATTTATTTAGTAAGGTCAGGGCTTCTTAAACCTTTCCCACTTGTGAACCCTTGTGGCCAGAGAAATACGACTCAGGCAAGCGTTGCCAGAGACCTTGGATTCTTTACGAGGTTGATTTAGAATTGATTTTTGGTCGCTGCATGTTCATAAACCTTTTACTAGTGTCAAACATTTTAACAGACCCGACTTTCAGTTAAGTGACTCCATATGGGGTCACAGCCCATACTTAAAGTTAGAAGTTAGATTAAGCTTTTAAGAGCTACTTAATCCTAAATTGTTTTATTTTTTTAATTACAGTTAAAAAGCTAGTTTAAAGATCCTGCGAACAACACAGGTAAATAATTCATTGTCATATAACTTAAGGCGGGGGAATCCAGCTTTAAAAGCATTTTTTATAAGTTTATTTGAGATCTGAGATAGAAACCACTAGTGAAGCAGTTGACAGTACCCCTTTGGTAGATGGGGCTTTCCTGCCCAATGTGTTGGGGGTGTGGTAGTCACCTTTCTTTAAAGACTAGGGTTTGGTTCAAGTCAGTATTCCATCTGTCAGAAAGGTTCCGAGGGATGAGGCTGATAAAATTCTCCCATGTTTATACTGAAACTTTTGGAGAAACCCTGGTGTCCACCAATCTCTGAGCCCTGTCCAGAAAGAAATGATTCTAAAGCAGTCGGGGGTGGAAAATTCTGAGGCCTGTGTTAGAAATTAAGAAACTACTGCAAGCCTCCAGCATGCTTGGGTATGGAGTGACCCTGTGTGTTCCTGTAGTGCTTGTGAGAGCATTATGAAATGATTTGAGGTCTTGTCCTTCTCTATCCAGAACAAACTTATTAGAAATTTCAGACAATTGAAAAAAAAAAAAAGGAACTAAATAACATTAGACATTTGCCAAGAGAGAGGGCATAAACTATGCTCCCTGGTTCTAAGGGGCCTCCGGAAATGGTGGACCTTTGGCCAAACTGTTCAAGAAGGTAAGGGTGAGCTCCCCCAAAAGATAACACTGATTTCTCAGGACCTGTGGAAAGGAAGAATTGAAGGCCCAGAAGGCTGACTAATCACCACGCCAGGAGTATTGTCTGGAGTGTAATGTGCTGATGTGTTTTATTTGGTGTATTTGGATATATGGTTGTGTCAAATAATTGGTCACCGCTTGGTTGTCAAACAAGCTTCAGTTTCTCTATCTTACCCCCCTGACTCTATAAAATAATCCTGAGTTCCTCCCCCCCAACCCCTCAAGTATCCAACCTACAAAACACCCTGTGTAGCTTGCAGATACCTTTGCAGTTCCAATCTAATCATTCCAATCTGAAAGCACCATACTTCTTGCTAACTGGTTCAGAAATCCAGAATGATATGACATAATGTGAAAAAGGCATGCAGACCCCCTCAAAAAAGAATAGGTACATAAGGGGGGCAAAAGTGACAGAATTTTAGTATCAAAAAGAATAAGACGGTACCAGTGAACAAAAGAATTCCAAATTCACAGGAATTCACAAAGGAAAAAGGACTCAAGGTGGGGGAACTCTTGTTTTTACAGAAGAAAGACAGATGAAATTTTTAGAAGGAAAAATATTGTTTTGCAAAGCACCAAATGACATAGGCATTTGTACCACCAAGTGCAAAGTTGATGGAAAGCAAAATATTCACCTGTTCTCAAAACATCTCGGGACAGGGAGTTAGCTTAAAAGGTTAGTGTACCTTGTTGTGTGGGAAGTCTGGGTTTGATCTTCAGACCTCTGAGCGCTGCCTGGAGTGACCCCCAAATGATGTGCTGAAGTAAACACAGCTGGGTATGGCTCACAAAAAAATAATAAATGACCCTTCATATCACTTAGAGGGGTAAGGGTTTTTTGAATCTCGACAGACAGACCTTAGCCACGTGGACACAAATGGCACTATCAGTGATGGAACAACTCAATATTTTCATGTCCTGGATGTTGCTAAAACTCTACTTTGCAATATTCCTCCCAAAATCTATCCACTGAATTTATCATTAAGTAAAAGCCATCTAGATTGTGGGACATTCTGTCGGACGATTGGCGCAGATCTACAAGGCATCAGTAAAAGCAAAGCTAGGAAGGATCTGGATGAAAGAAAACTCAAGAGGTGAGAGCCAAATGCCATGTATAATCTGTGATTGGATTTTGGATTTTTGATTGTTTTGGGAGCCACACCTTGTGGCACTTAGGACTTACTACTGGCTCTGCTCAGGGAACCATATCGGTGTCAGGATTCAAGGTAGAGTTGGCCACGTGTAAGGCAAGCACCTAAACAACTGTACTATCTTTCTGTCCAAAAACCTTTGGGTTTTTGTTCGTTTGTTTGTTTGTTTTTTGATTCTTGAAGAGGGTCGGGGCGCTGGAACGATAGCACAGCGGGTAGAGCATTTGCCTTGCATGAGGCCGACCCAGGTTTGATTCCCAGCATCCCACATGGTACACCAAGCACCACCAGGAATAATTCCTGAGTGCATTAGCCAGGAATCCCTTTGCATCGCTGGGTGTGACCCCCCCAAAAAAAATTAAAAGAGGGACAGGGGTGGTGGTTCAGCAACAGAGCATATTTGTGAGGTTGTGAGATTGATACCTGGCACCACAGGGGGGGAAAAAACACATAAACTACTAGAAGATGTTGGAGTTAACTTGGTAAAACTGAATATGTACTGACTAGATGCAACTTCTGTATCGAAACTTTCTTGGGTAATAAAATAATATTGTGGTCATATAGAGAAATATACTTCCAGTTGGCATATCCTAAATAATTAAAGGTTAAATGTGATGTCCACAACTAATTTTTTGTTTTGGGGCCATACTTGGCAGTGCCTCTGGACTTATTTCTAGCTCTGTACCCTATATGGTGCCAGGGACCAACCTTGGGTCAGCTGTATGCAAGGCAAATGTCTTACCCTGTCCTATCTCTCCAGCCCCCCACAACTGATTCTTCATTTAAAAATTATATAGGGAATAAGAGAGCCGCTATGGCAAAGTGTTTACAGTAGGTACATCTAAGACACAGGCAAACACAGTACTATTTTGCCTTTGGTAGCTGCAATTTTGTTTTTCCAAATAAAGTGAAAAAAAAAAAAAGATCACGATTAAATATCCACAGGGTGACTAGAAGTTAAATTTATGAACAAAAATGAATACATTTAAGGAGATTAATAGATGGTCTTGATACTAAAATAAATAAAGTCACCTTAAAACTCTAGTAATTTTGGGGGCTGGAGTGATAGCACAGCGGTAGGGCATTTGCTTTGCATGCGGCCGGCCTGGGTTCGATTCCCAGCATCCCATATGGTCCCCTGAGCACCGCCAGGAGTAATTCCTGAGTGCAGAGCCAGGAGTAACCCCTGAGCATCGCCAGGTGTGACCCAAAAAGCAATAAATAAATAAATCTTATAAAAAAAAACTCTAGTAATGTTCGGGCCAATGAGATAGTGCAGGGACTGGGGCACTTGCTTTTGCATTTGCACCTCATATAAACCACATATGGTCCCAAACCCTACCAGGAGTGATCCCTGAGCACCGCTGGGAGTGGCCCAACCCCCCACCCCCACCACAAATGCCCCAAAGTTTAACTATATAAAAATTGAGTAAGGTTTGTCACTGGAACGTAGGCATTTCATGGAGAACTGGTTTTCTGACTTTGTTACCTCAATATCGTGACCTTACAAAGAGAAGCTGGTCAGAATAACCCGTGGACTGCCCTCAGAGTCGACAGTGTCCCAGGAGTCAGTCTGCTTGTGTGTTCCGAAAGAAACTGGGGCCCGGCCAAATGCAAGCAAGGTCACAGCACACAGAATTACTAAAGACGGGGGTGACAGCCACACTGGGACCCAAGTCCATGAAGTTGTCCTGGAACTCTAGGAGCGCTCTGTGGGAAGGAGGGGGGGGGGGAGTGTCTGTTTATGGTCTTCATTCACTGCAGTACAGCTGTGTTCTTTCAAAGATACTTCACTCTGGACAAGAACTGAGTGCTGAAAGGAGGAAAAGGGACATATATGATAACGTTTCAGTACCTGTGTTGCAAACCACAATGCCCCATGGGTTGTGGGGGGGAGGAGGGGAAATCAAAGCGTCTGCCATAGAGGCAGACTGGGGAAGGGGGATGGGCAGGAAGGAAACTGGGGACATTGGTGGTGGGAAACGTACAGGGGTTGCAGAACCAGGTGTTGGAACATTGTATGACCAAAACCCAATCATGAACAGCTTTGTAACTGTGTCTCATGGTGGTTCATTTAAAAAAAAATTTTTTTTAAACATAAAATAAAATTTAATAACATAACAACCCTGTCTCTTACAAAGGCTAAGGAAACCGCCTGGAATGTAGAGCAGGGGAAGGGAGGGCTGTGTCACGTGTTACATCCATGCAGCGCTGTCCCTTGCCACCCACCATTCTGGGGGGGTGGGGGGGGACTTGACTTTCAGTGCCTAGAAGGAAATCCTCTGGGGCCCGAGAGAGCTCAGCGGGCTTCCCAGGGCATGATCTGCACGGTCGAGGCTTGGAGTCAGCCCCCTCCCATCCCCCCAAACACACACACCACAGCATCCCTGGAGCACTACTCGGTGTGGGCCCAAGACCCCACAAAAAGAAATACTTTGTCCTGAAGATGACCTAGATCTTTGGGTTATACCCTCACCCTTATGGGAACTCCCTGGGACCACGCACTTTGCACGATGTGACTGTGTTCCCGAACCTGCCGACCTTCTGATGAACTCTCCAGCTTCTCCTGACTGACTTGCAGGTGGGACCCGAGGACGCAGGGGAGGATGGAGATGGAGGAACCAACCGCTTGCGGATCCCCCACGCTGAATGAAGCCATTGACGCTGGGCAGGCGCTTAGGTCACTGGGCCAGCTAGGTCGCTGGCGCGGACCCAGGCCTGAGGCAGCCTGCCTTTCCTGTTCTTTTAACGCTAATCATTTAAATTTATGAATTGTGCAAACACAGAGCATCATTTAGATTTGAACAGTGCCCCTTCAAGAATCCTATTCTTACTGGAGCGGGTGGCGGCTGTTTGAAGAGTTCTTTTTCTTTTAAGTGCTGCTGCTTTTTTTTTTTTTTTTTAAAAAAGGAAATTACAAACTAAAAAACTCACCTCCCATGAGCAACTAATGCTCTCTAAGAGTTAAATATTTTAAGGGGCTGGAGCCAGAGCAGCAAGGACAGTGTCTTGTCTTGCGCACAGTCTGCCTGGTTCTATCCCTGGCACCAGACAGGATCCCCTGGGCGCTGCAGGGCAAGCCCTGAGCACCTCTGAGTGGGCCCCCAAATATAAGTCAGAGATTTAATATTCTAGAAATCTACTTTTAAATCCCAAAGCATGTTAAGCATATTGAAAAAGCAACTATGGCAAATTTTTAAAAGCCCATTTTTAAACGATCCTATTAAACGCCATCCTGTCTGCTTATGATATGGAAAAATATTTGCATGCTTTTTTTTTCACTTTTTCAGTTAATCATGATACAAGTTAAGCAAGTCTAACCTAAATTAAATAATACATTGGCTATGTTGATCTCTGAGCTTATCTACACATTGGAACGTTGGTTTCCTAATCTACCTGAAATATGTTTTAAAATGTGTATCTTATGATTAGACTGAAAGTTAAGATTTATTTTTCTTGCATGAAATGTCTGTAGTTAAAATGTTCCACCTGGGGGCTGGAGCGAGAGTACAGGGGGTAGGGTGGGGTTGCCCTGTATTAAGCTAACCTGAATTTGATCCCTAGCACAACATATGCCCCTCCCCCAACCCTCAAGCCCACCAGGAACTATCCGTGAGCACAGAGACAGGAGTAAGCCCTGAGCATAGCTAGGTATTGCCCACAAAGGCCCACAAAAATAATAAAAA